AGGACGCTACTAGGGGCTCCTGGCCTTACTACTAGGAGCAAGAACGCGCTGCCCACCGGAGTCCAAGCAGCAATTGCCAGCGCGAAAAGACTCAGGGGACCCATCAGACCGATTCGGTGCGAGCTGCACGCTCTTGGGCCGAAGACTCCACGTGCAACCTGTTGTCATCCGAAACGAGTTGAAAGATGAGCGCTCCCATAAGGTGTTTGTAGCAGTTGCGCTTGCACCAAGCGCCACCGGTGACAGCTTTTGATAGCGTTTGCGTGAGATGCAATGAGTAATATAGTGTCAGATTTGGACGTCTCTGTGAGCCGGGCCTCTATGTATGCAATTAATTGTGTTTGACGATGTCAAAGTATAAGCCACTCACTGCATATAATTAACTGCAGCCGAAATCAGAGCTGTAGAAAGGAGGTTTTGAGATAGTTGTCAAATGAGAACCTGGAGACTGAGCGAAGGTACTGAAGCCGCGCGGGCAGAGCGAGCGGCTTGTGAGGCTGGAGATGATTTCGCTGCACTTTGTCCTTCACAGTTCACATAAGCTGGGCAGCCGGGCAGTACGCATACTATTGCAATGTTAAATGTATGTCCGGACTATTCACTTGCCCAAAAACATGAGCCTTCGCGAAAAAGTGCACTCACTAGAGCACAGATCCGAAGGAAAACCATGCTGAAAGTTTCTTTATCGCTTGCGAACGGAATTGTTCCAGGCTCGGGGGTAGAACTGTCCGCGGAGTGCTGAGGACAATCAATCTAGGCTTTCGATTAATTACGCATCCTTTCAGTGTGGCAGTGAAGGCAATTTCATGAGCTGCCTCCCTCCCTCCCACTCCTATTGAAATGCAATGTGTCCTCACAAACATTGCATCTACCTAAGGACATTTGATTGATTACGGGCTTCCATTGCAGATTTGCGCAAATCTGGAAAACGGCTTCATTCAATCAATATCGCCGGTCTACTCAAACGCGTCTGGAAGCTAGTGACATTCAGGTGACCGTCAATGTCACGTGAACTCACTCACTTGGAGAACTGCAAGAGTTATATATGTTATATATATACTGTAATTTTTAAAGGCATCCATTGTGACTCGCCCGACCTGACTATCTGGGGCTACGTGCCTCTTGCCTTCCTTCATTTTTTTTTCGGTGTTTCTATTATGGATGCGACATGTTTGCGCAAATCTATGGCAACCTGTATATCATCTGTATCTGACATCAAAAGAAAACTGCTGTCGTAGACGAGCACAGACTTACATCTGACAACCCTGATGACTTGACTCACACATATGCACCGCCGCATGTGTGTTTGTCGGCTCTTCAATCCAAGCCTTGAGCTAGTCCATCCGACGGCGTTCCTCACCTTGGTCAAAACATCACTCTTGCTGTTCCTCTAAACCCGCTGAAACCGCAACCCACTAAACATGACCTAACCTTAGCTCAATTAAGCAATCCAACATGCTGCAAGTGGCTACGACCACACAAGCAGCATCAAAATTGACTGTCTCCGCACCCTGTGATCCTTTTACATACTTTGGCTGCTGTCCCGTCTTGAATGCCTGCTGTGCGAGTAAAGCCCGCTGCTACAGGCCATGCAGGCGCTCTCACCTGCCTTGTCAGAAACTGGTAATATTTGCAGGTCATGGTGTTTTTGTTTTGAGGACCTGCAAAAGGAAGCCTGCCATTGTGCCAGCAAGAAGCATGACAACTCCGATAGCAACTGCTGAGTTGCCCCCGCGAATGCGAAGGAGCTCCAGGCAAAGGACTGTCTGACTCCAGCACACTGGGCTTTTTCGCTTTCGGGTGGACACAATCATCCCCAACGCAGCCAAAATAAACCAGCATCCCATTCTCAGCGACAACTCCGCACCTCCTTTAGATGCTCTGTCCAAGGCCTTGGTGACATAAGTCCAGCGCGGTAGAAGAAGTGCACCCCCTAAGGCCTCCAATAGTCCGACTATTTGAGAAAGATCATGGCGCAAGAAGCCCGCAGCTTTCAATAGCCCAACGCCGGTCATGAAAATGCAAAGCCACCAATGTAAGTAGGCTTGTCTCTTCGCCCAGCATGGAGGCCATGGCAAAGCCGGGAACAGTAGGTCGCTGTCACCCATCGCGAAGGGGTGGCTGAATCGAGCACGAAAGAACTCATTCCGGAAATGTGTGAAGGAAGCATGGCAGCAACGTATGGGTTGAACAATGTGACAAACAAAAAAATCTCCGAAACCGGAGTCATGCCTTGGCAAAGCCAAAAATGAAACTTGTTGGACCTCAAAATCGGCCAGGGCTGAGTGAAGCAAAGGCAAGTGAGAAGTTAAGAACTTAAGAGCACAAGATTATGCAGCATCAAATGAACCAAACAGTCTTGAACATGGAATGATCCGACATGAAGTGCCGCACCGTCTTTGGACGATTCATAAGAATCGACCTCCCAAGGACGGGGCTTTTGTGACATGGTGCCACAGCACTGCTGAATAAACAAGCCACAAAACGACTACAATCTGTGCGCAAAGCTAGGGCAATGACTTTGGTAGGCATCTAGAGGCTGCAAACAAACACCATGCTTTCCCACACGAAACTGATGGCACACCGCTTGCGCGTCCATTTTGACTGCCATGTGGCCATGCTCCGCTGGTCACACATCTTTCGTCCCAATTCCATGGTCCATAAGTTGTGGTGCCATGGCAGCTTCTAGGCTGGTACATAAACACCGAAGCAGCCACATCCGTGAAAGCAATCAAACACGGACATAGGATATCCACATCAACATCTACCAGTTTTGGCATTCAAGGTGTTATTTTTTGCTGACTGCATTAATGGTACAAAAAGGACTGCCCCAAATCGCATGTTCTGTGCATGGTTGATTTTCAGAGAGGGCTTCATGGAATGCAGGAAAGTTCAAGCCCTCAAACACATCCCCACACGATTGGATCTGTGAGTGCATGATTTGGTTCATCGGTTCATCCATTTGGGGGTTCAAACTCAAAGTTCCTTAACAACATTAATACTATGTATGTCCTCTCCCTTTCTGGGTGTCCGTCATTCTCTCCTTTGGTGCTTTCTAGAGCGTCCTAATAGACTTGTGTTGTGGGAGTTAAGCTTCCACTGGGTGTGACAAAGATTAAACAATAGGAAACAGAACGGAACAATAATAGCAGAAAATAGAACCAAACACATACATATGGAGTTCCTATTTTTTTGTTGTTATTTTTCCCGTTGTTTTAACTATTTTGTGTCATATTCTTGATATACATTTGCACAATTGTTGTACAAACATCCGAAAATCACACATTATGTATAACAAAATTAGGACATGCATAGTAGACAATTAGGAATCGGAACACATAGGATAAACAATAGAATAAAAGTAGGACCAACAATGGGACCAAATTCAGGCCCTATGTGTTTCCTATTTTTTGTATATACCATTATTGTATTTTTTACTAATTGTACTGTTTGGTCCTATGTTCTCCTAATCTTAATGTGTTGCAACTTCCAATGCCAAGCTTCATTCAGCTCAACACAATAATAGACTTCGGTTTAGGTCGGAGCAGGTCAAACCCACTATCAATCCGCATGGTATCTTCCATGTGAAGCTTTATGTTCTCATCGAACCTGATGGTGCTTGAGCAGTTTCTGCACTGCCTCGCCAGTAGGTTCTGGTGACTAGTGATATCGAAAGACTTTGAATACGCTCTCTTCCTTTTCTCATCCGTATCCTAAACCTTTGTGCTCATTTGGGATGTTCATCATTTCTTTCTTTTCGAATCAGGCCAATCCCCAAAAAGGATTTACAGGGCTGATGTCCTGTCATTCGAAAAATGCCCCTTTCCATATGGGGATAAGCTTTCAATGCGGTGTGTTTGTGTACCGTCGGGTGGACGGGTGCGTTTGCCCACCATGTCCGACATTCAGTCTTGCTTCGGTTCAGTTTGTCCAGCAGTCCAGCCTAGCCCAGTTGTCTGCGGCTGAGCTGGACATTGGCAGTCTTTTCCTCTGGGTCTGAAGAAGCACACACACTTGCCCATATTCAATCCTTTTTAATCCTTTGTGTTTGAAGGCCTTGAGTTTTGAGGTCTTGGACTTGAGGAGCCGCGTGCTTCAACAGCATCACAACCGCAGCACTTTGGGCTGCCGATGGCCGCAACATGCAGTGTTTCAGCCGTCTGGGCGGAAGAGCTTCACAGTCTCCACCTGCTCCTCTTCGGGCCTTCACAGCCCACGGTTTCTCGTTGAAGGGAAAACATCATTCCCTTTTCTAGCAGCATGCGCAGCACGGCTCCGTACACTGTAGCACACACCACACATCTAACGTGTCCTTGATGGAGAAAAATGTCGAGAATATATATATACGTATATATATATATTAGATGGTTAAGTGCTAGGCTGACGGTTTCTATGATGTTTCTTGAGGGTGCGCGAGTTGCCTGGCTGCTTGCTGCGCTTTCTCCGCTTCCTCCTGCAGGGTGAGGATTGATTTATATACAGGCGAGTCTGATCCAATATGATTAAATCATACATCAAGGAACACATGATCAGCTCACCGCTGTCTCTTCGTCAGGCACTTGGTGCAGGCAGTACCTGCAAAGCGTGGCATACAGGGTTGCGAGAAAACGTGCAGAACGTGAGACTTTCCCCAACTAGTAACTAGCAAACTACTTTGGTCACGCTGCGAGCAGTCCAGCAAAAGTAACCGCGCCAATGGTACTGGCAGCAGCAACAGCCTTGACAATTTGTCAGCACTGACAACCCAACTTGCTGAAGATCCTGCTTGATGAAATGGCAATTGCTCTGGCCTTCATTGCTGCACCAGACCCGCTCCTTGAACCAACGGAAGAAACAAACAGAACTTTTGTGGAACTGCATCACGAGGAATGTGGATGTCAACGTTCATCATGGACCCCGGAACCGGCTACTGCGGGCAAAGGTTTACGCGTGAAAACTCGAATCGCCAAGAGATCCGGCACAGCGTCTGACCTGTCGGGGTAATCAGGGTGGACGTCTCACAGGCCTACCCGCGACCACAAACAGCCTTGGTATGCCTGGTAAATGTTTGCGAAAACAGGTTGCACCATGCGTGCGTGCATACGTGCATACATACCTTACTTACTTTCCTGCCTACTTACTTACTTACTTACTTTCTTTACTTACTTTCTTTACTTACTTACTTGCTGCTTGCTTGCTTGCTTGCTTGCTTGCTTGCTTACCTTACCTTACCTTACCTTACCTTACTTCCTTACCTTACTTACTTACATACTTACTTACTTACTTACCTACTAACTAACTAACTAACTAGCTAGCTAACTTTACTTACTTAACTTAACTTAACTTAACTTAACTTACTTACCTATTTACCTACTTACTTAATTACTTACTTACTTACTTATTTACTTACTTACTTCAACGATGAACCAACGATCCCACTGTTGCCATTGTTTGAGGAGTTGGTTGACTTAGTCCCGGCAACCGACTTGAGGCATCCTATATCCAAAATCACCGCCTTGGCTAACTCCTTCACACACCAAAAGATTTCGTGACTTGTCACTCCACCATCGGCTCCCATCCCGCACGGGAGCTCCACGGATTGCGTCCCTGGGCGGCTACACGGTGAAACCAGTAGATCCCACTCATGATCCGCCGGCTGCTCCTCCACCGTGGTCATGGCTGCCATCGAAGATGTCGCCGTTCGGGGCCTTGTCCTTCTCCGGCTCGTAGTTGGCGCCATGAGCACTTGTTGAGCTTTTGGATGAGGACACTCTCTACTCCAGTGTCTGATCTCGCCACAGTTGTGGCAGGCTGTGTTCTTGATCTTGCCGGCCAGTGCTTTCTTCCTCTCCTCAACCTGGTCACACTTCTTGTAGTATTGCCTGAGCTTCTTGACCTCGGCCATGCGCTGCTTCGCTTGCCACCTCTCTCAAAAGGGAGGTCCTCCTCGAGGCTTTCCTCACCGAAATCGTCCTCCTGGATTACGGTCTCCTCGTCCTCATCCGGCCGTTCTCTCAACACTGCAGCGGCCAGAGCTGCTCTGCCGCCACGTCGTCCGGTGCGAGGCCACCTTGCCCACCACGTTGTACCAGCCACTCTTCTCCATTGGCGCCAGCAGTGTTCGGCTCGGATACTCCGATTGGATAGCCGACGCACTAGGACCTTATCCCGCCTGCTGAGACGGGCATGATCCAGCAAGTGGCCCACGTAGAAGCTCTCGCCCATCTCCAAAGTTGCATCCAGCCCCAACAGCTGGGCGCGGTATACACTACCCCGTGTGATGTAGCTCTCCAAAGACTCGCCGGCATACCTGGCCAGGGACATCAGGCGCTTGCGGTGTTGGTCCACTCGATGCTTGTCGAGCTGTCTCACCAAGGGGCTCCTCTCCAAAACTTCACGCCCCCAGGCTTGTTCACGTCACTGTTGATCAGGTGCTTCACCAGTTGGGCTGCTGAGCTGCACCATGATCCTGGGCCCGATGAACTCTTCAGGGGTTTGATGTCCTTCTCCCCCCAACCAGAACTCCAGTGAGCGACGCCAATCCCGTAGCTCTTGCCGACCTTGGCTCTGAAGATGGGAGGGTATGAGCTGCGGATCTTCCCCCACTTCATCTCCTGGTCCCTTCGGCTCGGGTGCGTCCCCAACTGAAGACACTTCCCCTGACGGTGGGTTCACATGACGATCCAACCCTGCCGCCATGGGAGAAGCTGGTGACTCCAACCTATGACAATTGTCCCCCGCGAAGTCGTCCATGGCCCCCGTGCCCATCACCCGAATTGTGTCGATCCCAAAGTCCCGAATCGCTGCGAGGCGCATGACCTTCGTGGCCGTCACAATGTCCTGAAGTTGCCCGTGACTTTCCCAAATTCTTACCGGCCATGCCTCGACCTTCTCGAACTTGACCAGCTCCCATCCCACGACCAGTTCACAGGAGATCTGGGATGCCTCCTTGCACCAGCGCCTGAAGTTTGGTCAGAACCGCAAGGCTACGGATGGCTGGAAGAAGTTTTGTGGACGATATGAACGGCAAGACTTACAGACTGTCGAGTTCTACTACACGATGGAGGAGTATCCGAGATCCATGGGCCATGCACAGCTCCGCACTCATCGAGCATCTGACCACCCTCTGGATCTTCATGCTTTGAGCCTCCAACACAGCGACAGGTGCCATGCCCTCCAGAACCTTCAGGTCCGGCATCACGCACATGACGCCCCCTTGGGAATGGCCTCGTGGCTGTGGGCGTAGGCCGCGTCACTCGCTGAGATGATGATCGCGTCCTTGAGGTCGCAGTCCAGCTTGCTCACCTTCACCTCCACTTCCTTGCGAGCCCGCCCAACCAGCTTAGTTGCTTCCCGCGCATCTTTTTTGCCTGTTGCTTCTGAGCACAAGGCACCTGTTGGATAGGATGGTGTTGCCCTCTCTGTGTATAACCACATGTTGGTCGCATTTTTACATGCCTTAGCCGTTGCAATCATTGCTGCGCGCAGCCATCACCACAAGCCTTCCACGCGTTCCTCCGAGCCTCCATACTCCAGCGCGTGTTGGAGTCCACATTCTTCCTGCTGACTCGAAGTTGAGGGTCTCCAAGTTGACAGGTGTTGCAGCTCCAAACATACTTGTTGCCCCAACGCAACAACAAGAAGATGCCTTTGAATGCTTCATCCCCGTTCGTTGAGAGTCCGCGCCTGTTGCAAGGCCGTCTCCATGGCGTTGAGAGGAAGAAATTGTTCAGTCTCCTTGCGTTGTCTTCGAAGCTCTGCATGCTAAAGATGTTGGTCTTTGCGGCGGCCATGCTGCACACAAGCTTGTTGAGGCCCACCTGCACCTCGAGGTCCCTGTTGCCAGGAACGACGTGGCCATCAGACAAGTGGCACAGGTAGTCGGGCACTGACTGGATCATTGTTGTTGGGTGTTGTCGTCAGCCCCACGTTGGCGTCGCAGTTCTCTCCAGGAAAAGAGCTGATGATGGTCGCATCTTTCTCCTTGAGGTCGAGGCATGCTATATATATATATATGTACTTATTTATTGAATCCATTTATGTATTTATTGTTCGTGTATATATATTTGCGCGCATGTTTTAAATGGCCCTTGTTGGGTCGTTGGCATTTCTGGTCCTGCTCTTGTTGGGTTCGCCACGTTGAACCCCCCGTTGCTTTTCCACAGTGGCTTCCAGATCTTCGAACGTTGCGCCCTGTTGGATCGAGATCCCTGTCGCATCTTCAAAGTGCAACGGGACCTTGTTGGACAAAGTTACCATTCTGGTAATTTTTGGCGCCGTCCTCGCTCTTCGTTGACACAGCTGTTGACGCAATGTGGCTGCGAAGAATAAACTGTTGCAACTGAAACTGTTGCACTGCATGCAAAAAACTCAGCCCTCTCTGTTGTCTTTGACAGCATGTTGAATGTTGACAGACAACAACTCATCCAAAATCTTTCTGGGACCCTTCGCGTCGAGGAGTTGTTGTCTTGAAGAACGCCTCTCTAGCGCAGTCTTGCAGGTGGCCGTGTAGTTGCCGTAGCCGTTGCTGCAGCTTGTTCGTTGTTGCAGTGTCCTTTTTCTTTGTCTTTTCCTTTGTTGATGCTGCCCGCATCCATTGGCGCCAAGCCACCGCCGAAGTTGGTAGCTACACTGGGTGAGGCTGCTTGTCGTTGTTGTTGTTGTATCTTGGCAAAGGCTGTGATGGATCTGTAGTACTCTGCCCTTACTGCTCTCGGCTCTGCATATGTTGGAATCGTTTCTGATTGTAATTGTCAGTGAGCTTTGGTCTCGTTGGGGCAAGATTGCAATTTTTACGGCGTACTTGTAGAACTAGTATCACGACACCTCAAAAATGTTGGCGTTAAAGGTTGGCTTCAGCAATCTCGTCGTGAGATAGCCAATGCCTCTGGTGCCTGTTGGCGCGTCTGTCGGTGGCTGTATGTTTTCTTCTCCTTTCTCAGCCGTTGCCCCTTCCAGCCTGAGTCCTTCTTCTGTGACAATGGACCCACCTGATTAAGAAGGCAGGGATATCTTGGGCGCTGTAGACCCATGTGCACCGCACCGCTGACCATGCTGTTGCGTCCGCTGCCTGCTCTTCTTCTGCCATGGCACGGTGGCTTCCTGCTGCGTCAGGATCAAGCCTCCTTCTTTCTGTCGCTGCCAAGCCTTGCGCAGGCTGATGTTGCGTGGCTGCTTTTTGTTGAAAGGAGCTGACCTGGATCTGTCGAGCCAGGACCACAGCTCCGCTACCACACAAAATTCAAGATGCTTTGTTGGTTTGTCTGCTGTTCCAACTGTTTCCCACAAAGTGCTTGCGCGTCCCTTTCTCCTGAGCTCAAGGCGCCTGTTGGATACAGTCCACGTTGCACGTGGGATGGTGGTGCCCTCTCTCACTTTCCTGCCTGTCCCCGGAAAAGAAACTGGAAATGAAACACCGCTGGACCACCCTGCGCTACGCAATGTCCCTGGACGAAGATCCCCCATTGTATTTTTCAGATAAGCGTCACCAGCTCTGCTGATGTCGGCGCAAGTGTTCCAGCGTAAACATGAGCTGCCGTGGTGGGAAGCAGCCCAAGCAAAGTACCTGCGCGCATTCTTCCACAGCAAGTTGGTTCCAGCAAACACACCGCATGCGCCTGGCACAAACACGCTCCAGGGAATGTCTGTCAGCAACGACAGTGCATAGTTCTTGACCACGCATGGAATTGGCGCTATCCTCCAGCAGTTGCAAGAGCACAAACCGAACGTGCAGTGACGCAATGAGCAGTGACGCAACATGCAGTGACGCGTGCCCACAGGCCCGAATGCGCACACGAAAAACAGCAAAACGTTGTCTGATGTCTGACCCTGATACATTTTGGAGGACATTCTCGGGGCGATGCCTTCTAAGACACTTTTGGAGCACGCTTGTGCGACACTTTTACTTCAAGGACGCTCGCGCGCCATAGTGACACTCTTGTGGGACACTGTTCTGGAACACCCTTGGGGCACTCTTGCGGGCCACTCTTGTAGGGTTTTGGGGCGCTCTTGCAGGGCACTCCTGTAGAGTGGGTCAATGGGGCGCCAGGCCGCGTTGGATCGCCAATCGTCGCACTCACCAGCGACACGCCGCGATTGCACGACAAGCATGCTTCCCGTTCCCTACTGGCACAGAGCCACGCAAACGCACTTTCCACCGACCGCGCCACCCTTCTTGGCAGCTTCGCGACATCTGTGGTGGTTCGCATGTCGCATAAGCAGGCCTCATCGGAGGCAAAAACTGGCTTGCACTGATTTGCGCACAAGGCGCACGCCCCTCAGCAGTTGTGAGCGCGTCGAAGCTGTGGCGGCCCTGGCGGCTGAGCAGCGCAGGAAAGGCCGCATGGTGGGCCAAGATTGCCCACGCAATGTGCCAGAGGGTGGCCGCGTACCCTTTTGCAGTTCCCCACCTCAATTTGCAAACGCCGCTTTCAGCAAGCTAAAAAAGCTTTTGTTCGCTGAGGGAAGCGCCCAAGTGGCCCTGGCACATGCTCACTTGACTTGGAGGCAGGCGGGCGGCTGTCCGCAGTGAAAATGAAATGCGCATGATGAGGAACCAAAAGCCGGCGCTTTTAGCGGGGCAGCAGGGGTCGACGAGCTTGAAGGAAATTGGTTCTGGTTCGCTTTCATTCTGCTTTTGTGCTTTCACGCGCTTTCATTCTGCTTTCACACATTGACAGTTAGGCCCATAGGTTCTTGGCAGAGATCCCAAGCGACTGGTAGAGTGGCGTTCAGGCGGCTTTCGCGTTTATTGACATATTAAGGGCCACCTGTGGCTTTGCGAATGTGCCAGCAAGAACCAAGCGTTGGTGCTTGGCCTGATAGAGCTATGGGTTCTTGGAAGGGGCCACGTCGACGGGTTCAACAAGCGAGCGCTTGAATGAATGAGGTAACAAAATCTTTCCAGAAGCCTGACCTGCTAGAGCTATGGGTTCTTGGAAGCGGACACCCTGACGGGTTCAACGCGGGCAATTGAATCAGTGTTTTGTTGCTGCCTCATGTTAAAGCCATGGTAATCCACTGGTTCTCAACGCTGGCCGTGTTGACGACCATACAACTTCGTGACGCAAATGATGCAGCAACCGTTTGCCTTGCATCACCTGCATCGCCAACTACCCAAAATTGGCCTCTGCAAAAAACATTAACCCCACCAGGCTGTGATGAAAACGCAACTTCTGGCCTTTTCTCTCCTCGCACCCGCGTTGTATGCTAGTACTCACTTCGTTCCCAGCAACAGCTTCAGCCTAGCCTACCGGCTGGCTTTCGTAATGAATCTATTTGTGATATAAATCTGGCATTCCAGCTGGAAAATATTCTGGCAGCCTGTTTGTCATATTTTCTGTCATTCTTTGTGACATGTATTCGGGCTTTCTGTCCAGGATGGACTCAAACACTCTATTTGTGATATTGTCTGGTACTTTTTGTTGCTATTTTCAGGCTTTGCCCGCATCTGGAATACGTTCTGGCATTCTATTTGTCGTATTTTCTTGCATTCTTTGTGGCGACAATTGCTGCTTTCCGTCCGGAATGCATTCTGGCACTCCATAGGCCACATTTTCTTGCATTGATTCTGGCCATCTTCCAGCATGCGAAGGCTATTGCGCACACCACAACAAGTGACAATGCCACACCTTGCCACGTCTGGCAAGGTTTGCACTGCACCTGACGTTTGAAAAGTTTGAAATGGTTTCGACACGCTCACATCAACCAAAATCGCAATCTTACATAAGACCCGTCCCGAAAACATAAACACCCTGCAAACGCCAATCCCAATGGTTGATATGCGCTGATGCCTGGAAACGCTATCATCTCACATTTCCTGCAAAGTATTTCAAATAGGAAACAGCCAACTAAGTACACCTTTTTCTTGAGCCATATGTAACGCGTGAAGTAGACATGACTATGTACAAGCGGTGAAAAATACAAAGAGCGGCGCTTCGCGCTGATCACCCCTCCATCCCAAAAAAGACTGTTCCTGCGAACCCGTTCCCGCAAGGCATGGCCTTAGCCATGTGCATGCTTGCGAACGCTTGCGGGCACAACTCCCAACGTCTCCCGAACACAGCTCTACGCTCAGACTCTCAAACAAGATCCCTTCGCTACGCATTCGGAATCAAAAGGAAGGCCTGACGAGAAAGACAGACACATGGCCGCCCCTCTCGACGCCTAAGACATCGAAAATGGCGTTCACAAGGCAACCGTGTTGTGGATGTACCGTGGCTCCATGGCGGTTCAAAGGGGCGGAGTGCAACCCACACCGATTGTCGATGAGCTGAGGCAATTTTGTGGCAGCGTTTTGGCTGCTCCTTCAACTCAGCTTTGTACTTTTGGCTGCTTTAAGTGCAGTGGGCCAAGACTGCATTCTATCTCGCATTGACCTCACATGCAAAGCATTGCAAAGCATTGCAAAGCACTCAGCGTGGCGTCTTATCGCGACTTGGGACCTGAGGGACCTAAACTGAAAAATGTGCATTTGTTTGACATTCGTTTGCAGCAATCCGAGCAATCTTCAGGATGTTTCATTGGCTTTTAGCTTCTGGCTCGCGAACATCTTGACAGCCTGGGCAAGTTGACATATACTTACATGGACGTGCTACGCGTTCAAGTGGCAATTCGTCACTCACAACGAAACTTAATAGAGTAACAACAAAAATGTTTATATATATACTGTAATATATATATATATTAGAATGATCCAAAATCGAAGGTGCTGTTGCGGGCATTGGGGCTCCAACAGCCCACAGATCTGCCAACACCGAATGCCGCAAGTGCACCAAGTGCTTTTCCAGCAAATGCGAGCTCAAGACCCTGTCTCGGTTTCACCAGAATGCAGGTTTGGAAGGCCGCTGTTTATGCAAGTTAGTGCCAGCCTTCTGAAAGCCAAAGAGGTAACCTTCCCCTGGGTGGGCTACATAGAGAAGTTGCACAGGTTCAAAAAAGACTTGGTAATGTCATTTTGCATCTGCATTGATCAGTAGAATTGCTCTCAGTAGCTACCAAGCTATAGACCTAGCTCGAAAACAATATGCCCTGGCAGGGACACCACTATAGAGGCTGCATGAAGCGGCACAATCCTTGGCACAAAACAGAGCGGCTGCACTTGCTCGTCCAATCTTGCCACTCTCCAAGGCTGCGGCGCGGCTGGCGGGGTGGCTTTGATGACATCCACTAGGCCGGAGTTCTCAAACAAGAACCTCAAAAAATGTCTTGGATACAAATGGCCGTGTGTTCCACCACTCCCTCTCTCTCTTCCCCTCGAGAACCATGCGAACTGCCATGTCTGGCACTGGAGTGCCACATATCAATGGTCTCAGCCTCACTGCTGCAAAACAGTCTTGCAACTGCAATCAAGGCAAAAGCCCTGTCAAACATTTCAGGAGGGCTTCAGAAAACGAAACAAACTTCTTTTGCCTCTGCTTTCTGACGCATTTGCCTTGGTGAGTCTGGGCGCCTAACCGGCACACCTCCGGGCGGGTCAGGGCCCTGCAGAAACGCAGAAGCCTGCCAGTTAACAATCAACATGTGCCAAACACATCCAAACATCCACTTCAAGTCACACGCAACACGTGGGCCACAAAGTGTGCGCCCACAAAGCGTCTGCACGTGCCTTGACGGAGCTGGGCAGCGAAACTGGCCTGGCGCTTCATTTTTCACCAGTTTGGGCCCATAAGCTCAAAGCATCTCAGGACTTTGCAAGTCTGAAATTTAAGCAAGATTGTGTTTTCTTGTGTCGCTGAGCTTGATGCAGTCCATGTTCCCCAGGTCCTGCAACAAGCGCGCGCGAAATACGCAAGAGGATGGCACGACCACAGTATGTCAGCATCATAGGACATGTGACCATCATGACCATGATTCGTTCAACTTTGCTCAAAAGCCTCCGAGGAACCAAGCAGCGGCTGCGTCATGAACCTGCGGCGGGTCGGAACTTTGACTCTCTAGATTCTAGATGCCCAAAGCGGAGCGTCGGCAAGTATCAAACAAGGACACACTCGAGATATTGCGTACGGAACTGAGTGCCACATGCCACACGCCCACCTAAGTATGAACGCCTAAGAAGCCAGGTAAATGGTAGAAGTCCCCAAGTCTCAAAATGGAGCGGAGTTCAACCATGAAAGTTCAAAACTGAATCGTCGATGCACTAGCCTCGAGCACGAAAAGCGAAAAAAACGACAGAGAGACGACGTACCGTGCAAGTCTGCAGACCTCAGCTTCACCTAAACAGCCTGTCCAATTAGAAGAGGAGGTAGTTACAAACATTTACAAACCATCACATTGGAGAAAGCAGATGCACAGATTGGCGTCCCAATCTGCTTCACCACAACTGTCTTCGTTGGCAGCAGAACCGTGGACTCCCTGCTGTCCCCATCTGTAAAGAAAAAAGAACAAATTCAACGGAATCCCTGTGACTCCAAGGGTTTCACACAAACACAGACACACACACACATACACACATACGCGTACCAGTCTCTGTGTGTATGTGCATGTGTGAGTGATGGCAGTACATTGTTTGCAAAAAAATCTGAGGCAGCCGCGGTGACATCTGCATGATGGTGCTCCACGTGTGGGGCCCACAGCCAGTCCAAAGGGAATGGCATAGTGCTGGAGCCGCTGACGGCTCTCGCGGACTCTAACTCTAGCGAAACACCCACAGAAGAAGCAAATGCAACGGCAGAAAAAAACACCCCCAACAGTGTTTTGCCCACTACTCACTGCAGGCATGAGTTTGCTTGAAACCCCCATGCCACCCTCTGGCTTTTGGGCCTGATAGCCTTGGGAACCTACCTTCCCAGCGACTTCCTGCTACACACAAAAGACTAAAATGACTAAAATTTAAACTGTCACAGAAAAAACAGGAAGTTGATCACTCCGACTCTGACACTGCGCTGTTCCCTAGAAAGCATCTCAGCTTGTGATTGGCGCATCTTCTTGTGCTTCGCTTGTCGTGTTTACACGTCCCGCGCACTCAAGAACAAGCAACCATGATCGACAAACTGAAAACTGGCACACCATGCTCGCACCCAAGCACGTGGCGCATCGTGTCGCATCACTTGTTAACACCAAACACGGCAGCGTCAAGGAGTCGCAGGTTCATGCAGTTGAATTCGAGGCCGTGATTTGATGCAAGTGAAGATCTGACTTTGCGTCAATATATTCACTTTAAACACGTTACCTTGTTCGGACTCCCCAAGCATTCTTGCAAGCACAACCCCAGACACGCCAACTTCTTCCGAACTGGTTCCTCAACAATATCCGTGCACAAAACTTTATTTAGGGACATTTGTCGACTCTTATTGCATTTGCACAGTAATTATGTATCAGGCAACCAAGCTTAAGTCATCACAGCCTGTGCATTTTGGGTGGCAACGGCGGATCATACTTGCAAATACCATGACACGCTCGACCACACGAAACTTTCAAGACCACAATCTCCGCAGGAAGGTGCACTCCTTCCCACTTTAGCATGACCAAAGCCTTGCAGAAATACCGCCTCAAGTGAGCTCTGCCACGTTACCTGGGGAGACGGATCTAAACTCCATCGCCCACACTCTGGCCCCTCAAACGTGCCCGCCTAAGACGAACGGACGCGCAAGCGATCAAAGGCAAAGGTGCCGTGAGAAGCTACGCCAGCGATCAAGGTCCTGAGTTTCTGAATGTGAACAAGGTGATCAAATCAGAATCCATGGGGTGAAGGCAAAAGAACACACAAACACGTGCAGGATGTTCTGCTCAAAAGTGAAGGGCCCCAGAATTCAGCCTGGATTCTGCCCTCCGCTTGCTTCCGAGTGGGAATTGGCTCTCGCTTATCTTCACAAAGCGGTGAAACGTTTCTGGCAGCTCCTGACCAATGCATTTGAATGTCAAGCCCTATGCACCTCAGCCCGAAAAGGTTTTTTCAGAGCATACTACTATTCTATCGAAGGCACGAAGTCAGCTGCTTCCAAGCGCTTGAGGAGTGGCATGCCCAGTCTCTCGGATTCCTTTCGTCGAGCAATTAGGACCAAAAGCTCCTGCAATCCCAAGAGATTCTGAAACACACCATGCCCAAAAAGGAAAAGATAATGAAGATTAATGAAGTCTGGTCCCAAATCTGAATGTGACTTGAATGATCTGAAGGATCTGAGCTCCTCTACAATCTTAGGATCAATGAAGGCTCGCCTGTCACAGTTCGAGCATGTTCAAATGTAAGCGAAAGTGAAATCAGTCTCCTCTGGATCAGTCGGCCTGGAAGGTGCTGATTCCTTCAAACCCAAGGCTTCGTCCAAGAACTCCAGAGCTCTTTCCTACCGACTCGCGAAACAACATATATCAAATGGTGTCAAATAGAAAACAATAACGTTTCTTACATCACACTCCGTTGCGTTAGCCGGGTTCCTTTTCGTTTGACGGTTTGGCACGTCAAGAATCCAACCATTTGTTCTAGAAAACTCTTTGTGTCTTTTGTCTTTGTGTCAGTTTTTGTAATCTCTACAACTCTTGTCAGCCTGAAGAATAGTTGGGGGCAGAGATGGGCAGAGAGAAAAGCGCAACATTGGGTGCATGCAAACTCGGGTGCCAGGCACGCTGAACAGTCCGAGCGGCAAGCAATCCCAGCTGAAGACAGCACTGCATCAAATGCCTAAACGCACAGCCCATCAGGTCCACCGGTTGTTACCCACTCTGTGCTTCCCACTCTGTGCTTGGAGCCTTGATTGTGAAAATTCACCGCCGAATATTTAGGTACGCGATATAAGTCTGCACTACACCTTGCGGAGACTGAGGAAGCGCGGGCAAACGCCACCAAGGGAAGGGCCTTTGATAAGGGGCCTTCAAAGAGACTTCGTACTAAAGGAGGCCTTACCTTCTTCACTTCTTCTTCCCCCCTTCATTTTTTGACCAAACGCACGTTCCAAGGTGCTCATAGGTGCGTGCACTGGGAGAACAGCCTCCAGAGTCATGAGTCGCAAGGGCCAGTTCTGGCCTGCCTTGGTGATAAAAGTGCCCGACTTGATGACAAATGTCTTCTTCATTCTTCGTCACAGTCGACAAAGCCAAGGTCTTTCATCAGTTTCGTCACCTCTCAGCCTATTTCTGAAATGGCACCATTGCGAAGTGCAGCTGCAATGAGGGTGCCATACCTGACTTGTGACTCCGAACCTGAAGTTCCCACCCTTTGAAACCAAGACTCTCTGGACTCAAATCTCCGAATCGAAAAGCTAGCATGCATACAGCTTCAGCTTGCTTGTTTTTCATTCTGCGCATCAAAGAGTTCGCATGGGTCATTACTTGTTTGTGTTTTCACGCGTCCGCTCAGCGCTCCTTTGCATTCTCAATCGTGCACGATGCTGAGATGGCCTCCACTCAACAAGGGGCTCCATTTCGATCACGTACTTCGTTTAAAGTAACTAAACCATATTTGCACCGCGCAGGAACTGCAAGGGTTCAGTCTGTACCCATGCGTTCTTCTGTAGGTCCAGGTGATGGTGCACCCCCATTGCGCCATACCCACTGCTGTGCTTGGTGGTTGCCTTCCAAGTTCACTGCGCCAGCTTTAGTTTCGAGTTTCGAGCACTCACGCATCTTACTGGACAGTCTCAGCATTCGGTGTCAGGTTCACAACCCTCCAAGTTGGGACACCTGCACTGCACACAGGTATGGTTCATTCTCGAACACATGACCCAGTAGCTGCTGTACGTAAGGACCCATCAGCGTGAGCGCATGCACACGCAAGAAGTGATTGTGTTCGCTCTGACCTGGATGGCCCTGGGGTATTGAGATGCATCTCTCAAGCGAGCATTTAGTAGGTTGCTAGTAGCTTTTTGCTGCTACTAGTAGTAATGCCCTTGCCACTAGTGGCGATGCGTTGTTTCTAGTAGTAATGCACTTGTTACTAGTAGCGATTTTATATGGTATCTATAATGTATTTGGGCAAATGGTCAGACTGACAAAAGTGTTTCAGCTGTCAAGGCAAAAAACACCAAATGCAACCGACTGGCACATAGGCATTGGGTTGTAGCTGGTGACTCTGCACCATATCATCGAACACAGCATAAGCCCGACCGATCTCACCTCTTGCGGAATACAGCTTGATGCCTTGCGCCAGTGCTTTTTGTGCATGACTTGTCTCAAACGTCAGTTCTCAGGTTCTAAATCTTGTGAATGCCTTGCTGATCTTCACTGTCGACTGTTCTGGGTCACTCTTAGAGCTTAGAACCAATGGCTGCCCCCTCCATATCATTGCTGGCCAGTGATACATCTGTACATTCATGTGTCTTGATGTATATACATGTAAAGAAATAGATAAATAAATATATATATATATGTGTGTGCACATGTGCAACATGCACGTGTCTACATGCGGGTTCTTGTGCTTTTCCCAAGGCCGAACATGGACACGCTTATGGAAGAAGGGGCACATGAGTTGCACATAAATGTTCGAGATACGGCGTAATGTGAGCTCAAGACTCACAAAGTTGCAAAGACCACCCACTTCCGGCCTCTTTTACATTCCTTTGGTTTCCTTTACATACTCACCTGAACCTGAGTGTTCAGGAATGCCTCCGGTTCGATGGGGCAACAAACAACAATGCTGATAATCAAGCCCAACCAAACCAGCAGCTGTGCTACTGAATGCAGAAGTCATGGCTTTTAAGTCAAATGTGCCGGAACAACGGCTGTCTGTGTGTGTGTCTCCCCCTGTTCCAAAGGGTTCTCTTTCGCATGTGCAATTTCAAGAATGCAAGGGGCCACAGACCTGCCACTGCCGCTGTGGCCAACGAAGAGCGGCAGTGGCAGGTGTGAAAACGTACCTGCGAAACTGTTGAAAAGCTGTTCTCCTTTCGGTTTGCTTCTCATGGTGGTTCTCATGCTATTCCCCTAAACCTGTTCCTTTCTTGTCTGCTAGGTATTCGTTAAGCGGCTAATGCATAGGCGGCCTGCTAAGTATTCAGTAAGGCGGCTAATGCATAGGCGGTCTGCAGACTTGCAGATAAAACACCACTGTTCAAACATCTTCAAGTGCTCGGACGACCCACCATGCCGTTCCATTGTTTCCTGTCCTCGTGGACTACGGCTAACTGAGAACCCTGTGACTAAGTGTGTGCGCACGTGTGCGTGGAAGCCTTGGACTACTCAAAGGAAATCGTTTTGTTTTCTAAATGGCAGGGGCGTGGCCTTCCACCTAGACACGATGGCCTCGAACCTAGATGCGCTGGCCTCCAACCCACTCTTGTTGTTTTACCTGGTCCCTCAGGTTGTTTTTACTTAGGTCGGCAAGTGGCAAGCCGCAAGCCAACACCGTACAAATTATCCCGAGTGTGACTGGCTTCATGCCAGCCCAGGGTGTACCCGAAGAGTGTTTTTTGTGTGGCCTTGCTGAGCAAGGGTTTGTCGACGTCCTTGCGCCCAGGACCAAAGCAGCTCGCAGCGAGCGTAGGAGGCTTACGCCAAACATATGTTAAGACTTGACGTTTTGATGGAGCTTGAGCAGGCCGCCACTTTGGCATGCCACTAGTAGTCCGCAGCGAAGAAAAGCAGGCTGAACGCCAAGAGGCCGCAGCGGCCGCAGTTCTTTCAAGGCTCATCGGGGCCGTCCCGACCTTAATCCCCTCCCTCTTTCTCTCCGCCCCTCTCTCTGAATCCCTCCTTCTCTTTCCCTCCCCTCTTCTCTTCTTTTTCTTTCCGGCTCGGGTGTCCTTGGATGCTTCCCTACTCCTCCTGTCTGGTGTGTCCTTGGACGCTTGTGTCGTAGCTGGGAGCATCATCGCTTTCTTCTCTTTTTTTACTTGTTGCTTTTCCCTCTCTTCTGTCCCTACCCCTCCTTCCCTTGTGGGCGGCGGGGTTTACAAACAAACCGGTCGTTTACAACACGTCTTCTAAATTCTTCTAATGAGGCTCGGCTGCTCATCGGTTTGTCCCCTTTCCTTTGGTTCCTTCTTCACTGGCCCCCCGCACACACTGTTCCCTTCTTGTCCTTCATGCCCTTTCTGTCTTCACGTCCTGTCATCCTCACCCTTTTCTCCTTTTGCACGGACCTTTGCCCGGACCTTAGTTTGTGCACATGTGCGCGTACTTTTCAACAAGCTAGGTTTAGGTGCCCCAGGCTTGCTATAGTGAGGTACGGATCATTGGCTGTCCCTCTTCACTTGGTGTCCCTTCATTGGCAACTACATACGTCTCTTGCGCGCGCATGCCCCTTGGAAAAAACCCTTTCCGGGCAGGATGGGGGTGCCTCCTTTCCGGGCAGGATGGAGGCCACACATGCCTCCCATCGGGAGGCGTGTCTCAAAGGATACTTTTTGGTCTTCTAAATGGCAGGGGCATGTGGCAATCTCATCCTACCACACGCAATGAAGCTTTGCATGAGAGTGGGAAGCAGGGACTGATCATCCCTATGTACCTGCCTGGTTGTGGTGTTTTCAAGCTGTGACCCTACTTTTCCGTAAAGGGCTAGTGCATGTGTGTTTTGAGTCTTGTGAACTTGTAGCGACGGCCTCCAACCTTGTCGCGTTGGCCTCCAACCTACTAGTGATGACATCCTAGGTCAGCATGAACTACGACATCCTAGGCAGGGCTTGGCACCTGATAGTTTGCCAAGCTCATGCGGAATTTCATCGGTTCCGCCTCGCAGTCTATTTTAAGTTCCCTTTCTGTGATACAACCCGGCAGGAGGTCTTCCGGAGGTACATGATTGTTTTAAGAGGGTGCTTTATTGTTCCTTTATTTGTGGGACGCCAACTTCCCTCAACAGTCCACAGGGCATAGAAAGGAGAGGGGGAGAGATTTGGTTCGGTGTTCAGCTAAAATACACAATCATATATACATACAGTTAGTCGCGCTGGCCGTGTACAAACTCTAAAGTGATTATTCTATTTTTGGAACGTGTTATATAACTGAATTGAGGAGAGACAGCGTCAAGCCCTTTGGCCGCACCAGAATCATCCGGACACACACCCTCACCAAGAAACAATCATCAAGTTGTTAGGTGAGACATAGTGAGACACGAGTTGACTCATCCCAATAAGCGTGCAAACAGCAATTATGGGTTCAAGCTCTCACAGGGGGCCTTCTTTACAAACATGTAAACAAATACACACACACACACACAGTGACACACAAACACATATACACCCACATACACATTTCCATTTATACTGCACTGCATTCGCACTGTGCTAGGTGTCTCCTTCTTCAAGTCTTCGGTTGCACACGACAAGAACCCTACTGACAAATTTACCTCTTCGTGGCATATTATATGCAAGGGGCATCGAGTCTCCATTCTGTGTCAAGGTGCACGCAGCCAACGTCGTGTTGGACGGTTGAACGCCAAGATCCTTCTGGCTCAGACTGAAGTTGGGCTGGGTCTCTTCATTAGATGGAAAAGGGGCGCCAAACATGTCGACAAAGGGAGGTAACTTGCTTCAACACAGTATGTCTTGCATCGACTTCCTTCATAGTTGCTCCATTACCTGTCCTTCATGGAAGCTAGGACTTGCTCTGCCCCGTGCAGGAGATTGTGGCTCACACAGCCCTCAAGCCTCAAAGCGTAGGGAACAGAACATGCCGAATGGTTTGCGACACTTTTTGTGTACAGCGCTTGAGGGTAATCTAGCGGTAAGAACCAGCCTTTGCGAGACAAAATTCCCACCTGAAGAGAGGTTCGGTTTCAGAAGAGGCCCCTTCACACCGTGCTCTGTGCAAACAGGACACAGGGCATCAAAGAGCATTGCATCTGGTTGCAAACGGTCTCTCAGCATAAGCTCGAAGTATGTAAGGGCATCCTCCACCTCACTTCAAGGTTGATGTTGTCTCATCAAGTTTCTCCCTCCTGTGTAAGGTGTAAAGTGGTTCTGGACATACACGTCACATGACAACATTTGATACAAATTGGCTATACAACTACATTTGCATAGAGAGTCCCGCCACTTGACCAAATCTTGCTCAGCAAGCTTTAGAATGGACAGGCGAATGCTTTCGAAGGAAGAATAAGCGTTTAAATTTCCTGCGTGGAACTGTACTCCCTCCCATCCCGATCACAGGAGGTCAAGCTGATATTGGAATTGGTATTGAGAACCTACTGGACTGGGATTATACTGCAAGCAAATCTAGGCCTGTATGGGCCGTGTCCAAATGACTTTATCACGTCACCAAGAGTGGTTACACCCTGCGAGCATTTAAAAACGGAAGACTCAAAAAGTGCCCAGTGCAACCAAACGAAAAGAGTAGCAATTCCAACTCCATAGCAACAGAAATCAAGCAAGCACGAATTCATGAACATAAAAAGCTAACTGCCTTCCCGACGTGGCAAAACCCACGAATCATTGCAGAGTACATGGCCTCAGTGCTGTCTGCTCAGCACAACAGCTTGGCACTATGCAAAAGCCAAATGTCAAAGTGATCAGGTGTTTTCTAAAATATCAAACATGCATTTGTGTAATTACATGTGCACAAATGTACTCTTGAAAGGTTCGACCGACTTCGACATTACTCGACTCGCTTCAGTCCAAGCGCAAAGTCCGGATGCAAACCCTCACGCTTCAGCTCCTCGAAACATTTGCTACCTTCAGCGAAATCTCTCAAGGAACCCGAACGGAGTTCACAAAGGTTTGCGCAAGTGTGTAGCAGTTCTTTACAAATCAAAGCGCAAATTGCCACACGTCAACTGTCTTGTAAACTTGTTGCGGCAATCGCAACCAAAGCGCTAAAGTCCATGCTGCCGCTCTGCGCGCAAGCAACGATGAAGAGCCTGTGACTCAAGCCAGCGCTGGCCCAACCCTCGCCATGTCTGCCATGCATTCCCCGCTCTTTCGGGCATGCCGACAACTTTCTGGGCTCAGGGCGGGTGGGCTAAGCACAGCAAGGGCAAAGCGAAGAAAGGCGAGCATAGCAAGGCGCGCACTAACAACAGCGCACAGCTCAGTTTGAAAAGCATGGTGTCTTTTTCATACCTTTCCCATCCTTTTCCCTTTTTGGCCTTGGCAGCCAAACCCGACGATTTGCCCCCTCTCCCAGAAAACTTCCAATCCAAGCGCCTGCGAGTGCGTAGATCAACTTTGATGTGGCGACGTGCACTTTGAATGCACTTGTGGGCGCTGGAAATGTCTCGTTGCTTCAAGAACCTCAGTTCACCGTCGCGGCATTTGTCAGGTAGCCATCTCTCAGCATTCGAGTATAAACAGAACGAGAGGGGAACCCATAGTCACCCGATATGATTCAATCTCTTTATATAGAACCATATGAACATAGGGTTGACGTATGCAACATTGCCGACATCTATTCAGGTTTAATGCAATCGGACAAACTCGCTTTCTGGCTCATGACGCTGATTCTGTGGTTTGCTTATGCCGAAGGATCGTGTCGCTCTGGCTGGTGCACGCATGTGCACGCTTCTCTACGGGATGCCTGGAGGGATGAGCACAGATCCCATCCATTTCAGGTGTTCGGTGAAGATCGGAGCAAGGCTGAGCAGCAAAGAACACACAAGTCGTCCTATCAATCCAGCGGTGAACCACAAGCGGTCAACCGCCAGCCGTGTCACCTTGGAATTCGCGTGGACGGGACCCCCAAGCCAATTGTCCAACCTTTTAGGTCGCTCAACAGGTCTTACCTTGTCACAGCTGCTGGAGTGCATTTGCTGGACAAATATTCAATTGTCTGCGAATGATCATGACCGGTGAGGATTGGAGAGGATTGGTGACGCTTGTGAGTCCGTTGAGTTTCTCCTTGCACCGCTGTTGTTCAGGGGGAGGAGGACATCGCTAGTAGGTTGGGGACCATCGCTAGCAGGTTGGAGGCCATCGCTAGTAGATTTGAGGCCATTGCTAGTACAGTAGGTTGGAGGCCGCCGCTAGTAGGTTGGAGGCCGCCGCTAGTAGGTTGGAGGCCATCGCTAGTAGGTTGGAACATATCGCTAGTGGATTGGAGGCCATCGCTAGTAGGTTGGAGGCCATCAAAGCAGATTGGAGGCCATCGCTAGTAGATTGGAGGCCATCGCAAAATAGTAGGTTGGAGGCCACCGCTCAGTAGGTTGGAGGCCATCCCTATTAGGTTGGGACCATTGCTATTGGGTTGGAGGGGTTGGAGGCCATCGCTGGTGGGTCGGAGGCCATCGCTGTTAGGTTGGGACCATTGCTATTGGGTTGGAGGCCATCGCTAGTGGGTCGGAGGCCATCGCTATTAGGTTGGGACCATTGC